AAGCAGGGTCTAAAACCGGCCTGCCCAAAATACGGGCCGGGGGCCGCCTGTCCCCTCCCCCCCCCCCCCCCCGCCAAGCACCGACTTTGTGGCCCGCGAAGTAAAGAAATATTCTTTATTCTTATTTTTTCCTGAATAGCTTTCCCCCTGTCCTATTTTCCTTTGGCCCGCACAAGCCTGTCATAAAGTATTACGGCCCGCCTTACATTTTGAGTTGTGCTGGCCTGGTCTAAAGGATCGTAAACATGCATGGCCAAACATCACTGAGCATCAGGAATATTTTAAAGGCAAATTAATATATATATATATATATATATATATATATATATATATATATATATATATATATATATATTATAGATATAGATATACATAGATATATAGATAGATAAGTCAACTCGGTTAGTAGTTATTCTCTTAGTAGGGAATTTTATTTTATCTTATTTTTCATTAGGAAAAAAAAAATAAAATTCTTAAGCTTAAACCCATGTTAAAATTGTAAACGTAAGCACTTGTCATTTGTGTTGCGTCACTGAAAAAAGAAAAAAAAAAAGCCGTCAGAAGAATTATCTTATTTTACTTAAAATTTATTGTTGAAGCATTAAACGTTACCAAACATTTAAGGGAATTTTATTTTTTCTTATTTTTCATTAGGAAAAAAAAAATAAAATTCTTAAGCTTAAACCCATGTTAAAATTGTAAACGTAAGCACTTGTCATTTGTGTTGCGTCACTGAAAAAAGAAAAAAAAAAAAGCCGTCAGAAGAATTATCTTATTTTACTTAAAATTTAGTGTTGAAGCATTAAACGTTACCAAACATTTATCAACTAAGTCTATCAGCGTTGTACATTAAATATTTTTGATGAGATAGCTTAATTTATGCCAATTTTCGGCCGACAGTCCATAATTAATTGTGTATTTTACTCAAGTTGTCGTCAGCAAATATGTTTTTATGAAATATTTTTTAGGCAGAAAATGTTTAATGTAAATAAACATGTTTAAAAATGTGCCTCCATTTCTTTCAAGTTTCCATTATTTCTATTTTACAGAACATTTTTCTTTTAATTTTCCCTATAAAACAGAAATAAACTCACGAACTTCCCCCATCTGAGGTACGTAATGACAAAACCTGGGGTTCACATTGGTGCGAGACGTGAGTTTGTTAAGCTTTAGACCCACTGTAAGATATGTGATAAAATGAAAACAACAGTGTGAATGTTGTATGATTTTGCATTACAAGTCTGACGTGCGGTCTCTCAAATTTTCTGTTTCTATCTGGAGACAAAATTCAGCCACTCTTAAAATCGGTCCAGGATTGTTTACTTTCACATGGCTGACCTCACTTCCTGCATTTTGATTTTGAAAAAGGAAAAAAAAAAAAAGGTCTTACTTTGAGTGTCAAAACAAGGTGAGCTAACGTCGTGATCCTTTTTTTTTTATTCAATCGAATGCTTCCCCCGGTTGCTGGTAAAGGAAGCGTATTTCAAGGCTTTTTAATTTACAACTTTCTTTGAATACATTCCCTTGAAAAACATGGCCCATCAGAAAGGTTATTTTGAAGCTTGCAAACAGTTTTTTTTCTTTTCCGGTTGTTCTACCCTGCTATACCGGTACACCTCGGGTGACAAGGACATTTTTTCCATTCATTTTTTAAAGGCTGCAGTGCTTGATTATGTGTCGAGTTCAATCATGCATAAAAATCCAAAGCTACAGGGCATTCAAAATTTGTGAATAACAAAATGGCCACTGTCCCCCAATACAATGTTTGAAAAAAAAAATAGCTACAGTCCTCCAATAAAACGTTTGAATAACTAAATGGCCACAGTCCCCCAATACAATGTTTAAATAACAAGATGGCCACAGTCCCACAATACAATGTTTGAATGACTAAATTGCCACAGTACCTAAAATAAATGTTTGAATAACTAAATGACCACTGTCCCCCAATACAATGTTTGAATGACTAAATGGCCACAGTACCATGAAACGGGGTGACTTTGCCTACTTTTGGCCTTCAAGCATACATTTCAACATGTTAACTGATCTAAAAACTAACACAAAGGGGCTAATGTACAAAGTGGGTACCTGCACTTTGTTGTTATAGCTGAATTAATTTATAGTTTGATCAGGTTAATTTGATAATTAAGTTTTTTTCAGATTTTTCAACCTAAGGAAAAATGGGGAGACTGCCGGTGAAAGACAGCACAATGCATGAAGAAATTATAAAACCAAGCAAATTTTCTTTTCTGTATTTAATGTTTAATCATTAATATTTCATTGTAATGAAAGGTTGGAAGAAAACATGAATACCATTTCACTTAAAAAATGATTCTCAGTGATCTATCCTTTCGAGGCAAACCTTCATCATAGGTTTTCGCAATTACTCCATGTAATGAAAGCTTTAATTTGTGACTTTGTCACAGTAGACTGTAACTGTAATTATACTGTCTTTCCTATTATCTCAGCTTATATCTTTGGCACATAACATCCTCATCTCGTACAAAATCCATTCACCAAGTCATCTCGAAGATTGTTATCGTGGAATCGTCTCACCGCAAGTTCGCCTAAAATAAATGTTTGCATAACTAAATGGCCTCTGTCCCTCAATACAATGTTTGAATGACTAAATGAAAAGATCTTCAATCCCATACTCTATATTTCCTTCAGTATATTAGATCACCAATCATTTGTGCACCCGCAAGCCTTTCAATGCCCTAATTTTGCTTATTCTCAGGCAAGCAGTCAGTTGTTGTTGTTTTTTTGCGCATTAAGACTAACACATTTTAAAACTAAAACATGAGAAATAAGTTCCAGTGAAATAACTACGCCCTGCCCGGTATGAAGTTGCCAGCGTCCTGTCCAGTTCCAGTAAAGTACCTACGTCCCGTATCAGGTTAACAACGTTCTGCCCTGTATCCAGTTACCAACGTCCTGCCCTGTGTCCAGTTACCAAGTCTTGCCCTGTGTCCAGTTACCAACGTCATGCCCTGTGTCCAGTTACCAAGTCCTGCCCAGTGTCCAGTTACCAAAGTCCTGTCCTGTGTGCAGTTACCAACGTCCTGCCCTGTGTCCAGTTACCAACGTCATGCCCTGTGTCCAGTTACCAACGTCCTGCCCTGTGTCCAGTTACCAACGTCCTGCCCTGTGTCCAGTTACCAACGTCCTGCCCTGTGTCGTTACCAACGTCTTGTCGTGCAGCAGCGAGCCTCCTACGCACTGTGCAGTATTAAGTTGCATATGAACCGTCAAACGTCGGCGAGTGCCAACATCTTATCCAGTGTACAGTGAGCTGTCGATGTCCTGTGGCCCTGTCCGGTCACGCAGTTGAAAAACGCCCTGTCCTATTTCAACGAACCAGTGACGTCCCGCCCTGCATCAAGCTGCCTATGCCCGATTCTGCATTGGCGAGTTACCCGCGAACTGTCTAGTGTGGGCGATTCGCCTACTTCCTGTCCAGTGAGCTGCCGATGTCCCGTGATCCGTCCCGGTCATCCACACCCTAATGACTCTGTCCCGTGATTTGACATCTAGTAACAACGAAGTTCGTGAGAGAATCATTGACATTTAACCCAGAAACCATTGACACTTAATTTAGCCCCAGTGTGCTGTTTTTAAATAATATTTTAATTCCTGTAGGACATTCCACAAACCAGGCAAGTTGGGTTTTTATATTTTTTAAAAACATTTTTTGTGTAAATTTTCATATGTATATTTGATTTTTTTACCCTGGTAGAAATTAACTTTTTGCCAGAGCTAGTTTAAACAGACGGCGATTTTTTTGATTTTTTTGTAAAGTTGAGGAGGTGAGTGTAATCCCTGAAGTGGGGGAAGGAGAGAAAATGGTTGCTGATAAATATTGTGATGTAAATGAATCACTGTGTAATGTGAGCAAAGGTTGCTCAAATGTTGATATTTTTACAGAGCTATGTAATGAAAATGAATTAGTAAGTAATGTGACCCAGGGGTGCTCAGCTTGATATTTTCATCGAAGAAAAGCTAATCATTATATGTGTTTAGCTGTGGAAATGTTCCAGGTCTCCGGTTGACAAGTCTGCTGTGGCTTGCCGATTAGGAGGCGTCGGCCACTGACCCCCTCGGCGTTTGCCTGGAAACATAACTACTGGGCACGCCCCGCGCGGGCAGACAAAGGGTGTGCTCGGCACCTGCCGTACATAAAACAGCTCCCACAGGGCTGCCGGCTGTGAAATTACGCAGTCGGAAAGTTAGGCAGAGCCAGGGTAGGGATCATGATTACAAGTTGCCGTTGACGGGTATGAGGCCAGAAGCGAGGGTGGTAACCTCTGGCAGAGGATTCAAATAATGCAGCCGTGAGAACGCTGCCCCTAGGCAACCGTTTCGTCCAAGCTACAGCGTGAACTAGTCGCGTTGTGGAAGCCCACTGTGGAATCCCTCTTATAGGGCGTCCGACGCTTTCCCGGGATGGGTGGGGGAAGATCTTAGGACGTAAATTTTTCCATCCCAACTCCTGAGAAAGTCGATCGAGTGCACTGTTTAAACGCATAGTGTCGGATCGACCGGGTGTCTCCTCGTTGG